CCATTTAACAGGTTTTTACTGTAGCATTTTTACAGTCTTTTACTGTTAAATTCACGGTCATTTTTTACAGTGTGGAGTAATGATGCTGAAAATTCAGCTGCGCATCACAGGAATAAATATTCAAATAGAAAACAGTTCTTTTGAATTGTAATAATATTTAACATTATCACTGATTTTACTGTATTTTTTTTTTACTGTATCAGATTAGTGCAGCATTTTCATCTTCAAACTTGTGTTATTTTCAGCATTGTATCAGTCTAACAGAAATCAAATGAGACACGAGCCAAAGGTCAGAGATCAAAGCATGGGGCCGAGGCCTTTATTTCCAATGATAGACACACAAGAGGCAAGGCAGTCACTTTTGCTTTCGAGCTTTCTTCATGCTCCTCTGAGCAGGTGCAGGGCAGAGGGAGCCGGGTCGGGGTCGGGGACGGGGACGGTGAAGCAGCCCCGTTTGTGCCACTGCATGTCACGCACACGCCGGATGGACTGCAGCTGTGGTTCTGTGGCTCCCCAGTCGTTCCAGTGTTTGTATTCGCCATGTTCAAACACGAACTGATACCCACGGTAGCCAGGGTACATGTAGCCCACCCACCTGAGGAAAGAGATTGGAGTGCGGAAACAATGTCAGAAAACATTAAATACATTTTTTAGGATATCTACACTCTTAAAAATAAAGGTTCCGCAGCGATGCCATAGAGGCACCATTTCTGGTTCCCCAAAGAACCTTTCTTAAAAGAACCACTTTTGTTTCTAAGTCTGAAGAATCTTTAAAGAATGTTTTGTGCAATGGAAAGGTTCCATGGATCTTAAAGGTTCTTCATGGATGCATCAATGTCAATAAAGAACCATTTTTTGGCTCCCCAAAGAACATTTCAGTGATCAGTTCTTAAAAGAAGCATTGTTTTTCTTAGTGTGAAGAACTTTTTTTTGTAAGCTAAAGAACTTTTGTCCATTATAAAGAACCTTTTGTGCAATGGAAAGATTCCATGGATGTGAAAGGTTCTTCATGGAACCAAAACGACAATAAAATAACCTTTGTTTTTAAGAGTGTGTTTAAAATTGATGAACTTTTAAATAAGAAATGAATTTAAGATATCTCTACATGAATAAAAATGAAAATGGAAGACACTAATTGTTTGTAGATTTACTTGCTGTATTAAAAGTCAGCATGAAATGGCATTGCAGTCCAGTTTACTTTTGTCACGTGAAACAAACTATTTAACAAGAAAAAAAAATAAACATGAAGATGATAGAAACTGATTGCTTTGTAGGTTTACTTTCCATACTAAAAGTCAACATGAAACAGCATTCGAATCCAATCCAATTTACTTTTGTCATGTAAAAAAGAATATTTAACAAGAAAAAAAAAACACCAAAATGGAGTCAGATTTGAGTTTGTTTTGGATTGACACTTTTTCTAATGCTCTTTTTTTAAAAAAAATTTTAAATCGTCCTTTATTTGTTATTATTGATGTTACCTTTATTAAATGTATACTTACTCATTATGTTTTGTTAATATTTTTAATTATATTTTATTGCTATATTTTCTTTTCATATATGTGACCCTGGACCACAAAACCAGTCATAAGGGTCAATTTTTTTAAATTGAGATTTATACATCATCTGAAAGCTAAATAAATAATCTTTCCATTGATGTATGGTTTGTTAGGATACGACAATATCTGGCCGAGATACAACTATTTGAAAATCTGGAATCTGAGGGTGCAAAAAAATCTAAATATCAAGAAAATCACCTTTAAAGTTGTCCAAATTAAGTTCTTAGCAATGCATATTACTACTCAAAAATGAAGTTGATATATTTACGGTAGGAAATTTGCAAAATATCTTCATGGAACATGATCTTTACTTAATATCCTAATGATTTTTGGCATAAAAGAAAAATTGATAATTTTGACCCATACAATGTATTTTTGGCTATTGCTACAAATATACCCCAGCGACTTAAGACTGCTTTTGTGCTCCAGGGTCACATATTTTCTTCCATTTTATATTCTATATTCTTATAGAATATAAAGAATTGAAATTCTTTTATTTTATATTATATTTTATTTTAGTTAAAGGTTTACTAAATTTGATATTTTTGTCATTTTCACTTTTTTATTTAAAATATGTCTATACAGTTATTTTTTTAATTAAAGTTTTAGATTTTACTTTTGGTTATTTTACTTCAATCTAAACTAAACACAAATGAGAAATGTTGCCTTGGAAAATAGCTGAAATAAAATACATAATACATTTTTGTTCTATGTACTGTATATTCTGTTTTATTTAAGTTAATGTTTATGTTATTTTAAGTATTTTGTTAGTGGTTATAGTTTTAATGTGAGTTAAACCAGTAGAGCATGGTGCCAAGAACAGCAAAGTCATGGGTTTGTTTTTCAGAGGGGAAAAAAAAAAAGATAAAATGTAAAGCGTAAATGCATACACTCTAAAAAGTGCTGGGTTAAATATAACCCAGCACTGGGTTAAAAAAGGGACAAACCCAGCTATTGGGTTGTTTTGACCCAGCGGTTGGGTTCAAAACAACCCAACCACTGGGTCAAAACAACCCAATTGCTGGGTTTGTCCCTATTTTACCCAGCACTGGGTTGAATTTAACCCAGCATTTTGTAGAGTGTATGGACTGAAACAAAGACCAAGACCATCTTGAAAAATCAAGGTTCGTGAGTTAATGGTCTTTGGACAACAGCAGCATGAAAGCGATCTCAAACTCACGTTCCGTTGACAGCTTTGGCACTGGCCACATGGTCCTGGAAGCCGTGAACCCACAAGCTGGGAATGTCATCATCCACGATTTCCATCTTTCTCCCGGCAAAGCTGCAGTTCTCGAACAGATGTAGTTTGTGGTCGGCGCTGTCCTAGTAATGGAGCGTAAACACTAGACTCAATGGGCCGTGACAGAAGAGCAGATCTTTAAGCAGGTGTGAGGGGTGAACTCTCACCACTCTCAGAGGTCTCATGGACAGGAGGCAGTAGCTGCTCTGGCTGTTGGTCCAGGAGGACCAGCGAGGATATTCTCCCTTCTCCAAAACAAACTGCTCTCCCAGAAAGCCCTTCTGCTCAAAGGCGACCCATCTAGAACAAGATCATTAAGATCAGGATGGATTAATGGATGATTCCTTTTGATTAAAGCAGGGAATTTACAAACATTTTTTTGTCATCTGAACCCCTTTGAACGTACCCTAGTAAAAAAGAAATATATTTTAAATACATTTATTTCTTACTAAGTATACAGTAGTTCAAATCTATTAACATATTTACTGACATATTGCTCGAGACTTACTAACTTAAAAAATTCTAATTAAACTTTATTTGGAGTGCTACTTGTTCACAATGCACATTTCTTAATATTAAGCATAAAACGTGTTTTAATGTCTCTATTGATAAGGATTGTATGGGCTTTGAATATTATTGGTCTTTAAATGCAAGATATTTAAAGTCTACCTAAAGTATACTTGCAATAGTTGCACTTTAGCACAAAGAAAATATTCTTTCATATATATTTAGTTGAACTTCAGCACTACTTCTGCACAATTAAAGTGCATTCAGCACAAAATGAGTCGTTCCAAGTTAGCAGACTTTAAGTAGTATTCCAGTTCAGTATACGAAAAGTACAACTGCAGGAGATTTTTATTAAGTACATAAATATGTAAATGTATTTGTAGTATACTTAGCAAAAATAAATGTATATTTAAAAAAATATATATTTTATTTTAATAAATGTATATTTATTTTTCACTAGGCTAAATGTGATTTTAAGTTAATATTTCAACAATACATTTGCATGTTGACGGGTCTCTGGTGTTGTTTATTAGTCACATGACATGAAGGTAAACCAGTGTTATTTTAGTTTCATGTATATACTAGTAGTTTTGTTAGCATTTTGAGGTATATTTTATATGTATATTTTTATATTCAATTTTGCTGTTTTTATTTGTTTTTTTTATATCTTTTATTAAGTTTTAGTTTATTTAGTTAGTTTATTTAGTTAACTTAGTTATTTTAGTACTTAGTAAATGAAAATGATCATTTTTTTACTTGCCAACTAGCTGAAATGAAATAAAGTTAACGAAAAGGTTTAATTATTTTTTCAATATTTAATTTTGTTTCAGTTAATGTTTATTTTATTTCAAGTAAGTTGTATTGTTAATTCCGGATAATAACACTGAGATAAACAAATAAAATATTAAAAATATAATATAACATTAACAGAACTATATCTAAATTACATTACATTCAGAAACTGGCTCTAATTTATGTTTTATAAACTGTATAGGTAGATTAATAAATCACAATTTATTTTGTGCTTGCAGAGGTTTTAAGAACTGGATGTTCTAAACAAATATTATAGAGGGGAAAAAATATATAATTTAATCTTTACATCTTTATTGTATTTTTGCATTTTTTTCAGTTAGATTGTTTTAATATAGTATTAATAATTATATTATATTATATTATTAGCAATTTTAAGAAAGGTCTAGTTGAGAAACACTGATATACAGTAAGTAGTCCATTGAGTTGTATGTTATAATTTTTTGAAGTCATATGCTATCATTTGTGTACAAAACTTACTGAAAACCTTCTCCTATTCTCCTTCTCCTTTCTCCTAAATCTAATTTGCATATATTCAAACTTTTGCTTTCAAGAACAGTCTGAACATTCTTCATTGCTCCTTTTGTGGTTGTAGATAATGTGGTTTGACAGTAGAGAGCATGTACTCACGGGCAAGACTCAACTATGATTGATCCAACTTTTTCCAAGTTCTTCTCAATCAAGTCCTTGCATTCTGCTGACAGCTCGACCTTTTTTCCACGGAAGTTCTCGAATTCAAACAGTGAGGCCTGTTAAGATGATTCAACATATTTTAAGTCGTAAACTGTTTGGGTTTCATCCATGAAAGACGAGCAGAATTTCTGTGCAAGTCATTTGTAAAATCATTCATGTAGATTGCCACATTCATTTTAATGAAGAACTTCATTCTGCTCTTGTTTCCCCTAGACAGCAATGACATTAAATGAAGAACAAATGGAGATATTTGCTGTTCAGAATTTTCTCCTCAAGAAGTAACCTCACATGTGTCTCCTCTATTAAGTAAGAAGAGATTTCAACAATGTCTCAAACCTGTCAATATCAGAGTCTCAGTATAAAAGGAGTAGTTCACGATTAATTGAAAATGTATTCACCCTCAGGCCATCCAAGATGTAGATGAGTTTGTTTCTTCATCAGAACAGATTTGGAGAAATGTAGCATTCCATCACTTGCTCACCAATGGATGCTCTGCAGTGAATGGGTGCCGTCAGAATGAGAGTCCAAACAGTTGATGAAAAACTGTAATCCACAAGTACACAATACAACCAACGTCACAATAATCCACAAGTAATCCTCACCACTCCAGTCTATTAACATCATGTGAAGAGGAAAACTCTGTTTATAAGACAAATACATGTCCATAATCCATAATAACAGTGCTTGATATGAGCAGATTTCTCTCCTGATTCAGACCAGATGACTTTTTCACTGGAGAAAGTATAATTACGAATAGAGGACTCATATTTTTACAATGGTTTGAAATGAAAAACATCACAATGATGGATTTGTTTCTTACAAACACGCAGCTTTTCACTTCACAAGATGTTAATTGAGTGATGTGGATTATTGTGATGTTTTTATCAGCTGTTTGGACTCTCATTCTGACGGCACCCATTCACTGCAGAGCATCCATTGGTGAGCAAGTGATGGAATGCTACATTTCTCCAAATCTGTTCTGATGAAGAAACATCTTGGATGGCCTGAGGGTGAGTAAGTTTTCAGCAACTTTTAAATTTTTTGCTAAACTATTCCTTGAACTCAAATATTTCTCATCAAATTTGTTCAAATTCAAATGACATTTATTCTCCACATTCATCTATAGCTCAGTACTCTTACCGTGTGTCAGCTATTGGCTCGTTGTGTCTTTTAACGCAAGTTGTAGTTGATACTTGAAACACTAAAAAAAATTAATTCAGTCTCATGAGCTATAAAAGTGTTTCCTCTGGGCTTTTTGACTGTGTAAAATAACTGTATAAATGAGTGCCTTTGGACCTTGTAAACCGCTCCTGCTCCTCCTTGGCTCTTCCCAGCGACTTGCTGATCTGGTACTCCCTGCTGATCTGACATCTCTCCACCTGTCAAACACACAAACACACATCAGAGATGAGAAAAAGCGATTCTGAATAGGGTCACACACCAGCCATTGCTGCGTGAGTGCTAAAAACATGAGAAGAGTAAATAACTTCAATTAAATGGTAAACCAAAAGAAAATAGGAGATTTAATCTAAAGTGAATGGCCACAAAACACATTTGGACGCTTATAAATACATGAATGTTATTGCGTTAGATAACAAAATATTAAAAAAGAGGCATTTATTTTAAAGAAAGATGCATAATTATGCAATACTATATTACATAATATATGCATATAACTGATATGCATTTTTTTTTTTTTTTACAAAACACAACTTGCCTTTCCCCAAAATTAAACAGATAAACATATTCCTTAAGCAGCAATTCATACAACTGAAGTATAAAAATAAACATTATTTCAATGACTGAACAGCATTTAAACAAGCTTATAATGTTCATTATTGTAACATCATATATATTGTGTGTGTAAAAAATGTTCTTGGTAGTATACGGGAAAAACAAAACAAAACAAAAAGCAATGACTAAAAAAACTTCCGAAGGGACACAATTAAAAATAGTTTATTATGCTCATCATCGCATATATATTGCGTTTTTCAAAAATGTTTTTGATAGGATGGCCACAAAACAAAACAAAACAAAACAAAACAAAACAAAACAAAACAAAACAAAACAAAACAAAACAAAACAAAACAAAACAAAACAAAACAAAACAAAACAAAACAAAACAAAACAAAACAAAACAAAACAAAACAAAACAAAACAAAACAAAACAAAACAAAACAAAACAAAACAAAACAAAACAAAGCAAAGCAAAGCAAAGCAAAACAAAGCAAAACAAAGAACAACACAAAACAAAACACTGACTGAAAAACATTCAAAAGGGACACAATTAAACTCGGCTTATTGTGCTCATTATTGTAACATATGTATTGTGTTTGTAAAAATGTTTTCGGTAGGACGGACAAAACAAAAAACAAAACAGACAATATCAAAACAAGTGGCTTTTCTTTTCAAGAAAGATGCATTTAGTGTAATGCAGAAAAAAAAGAAAGAAAATAAAAGTGGTTTGTTAAAGGCTTTAAACTCTAAAACAATAGATCTTGTCATGACAATGAAGAAAAAAACATTTTGTAAACTTTCTTGTTTTAGCAATAAAAGTTTGGATCAAATAGTTTAGTCTTGGTCAAGGAAAAATCTCTCTAAAAATGACTTTCTTTCTCTTTTATAGCAATTTCTCTATTTCAACTTCACTACATTAGGTCTCCAATTAATCTTAAAATAGATTTCTATGACAATGATATTTAGTTTCTTTCTTCTGCCAGCACACATGTGAAAAGTAAGAGTTCAGATGAAGGCTGAATGCATCTTTACCTGTTTCTCTCGTCCTTCACCTTCAGCAGTTCTCACCCCTCCACTCTCTCTCAGCGTGTGTGTGTATGAGTGTGTGTGTGTGTAAGGAGTGTGCGTGGAGGTGAGGGTGTGCTGGGCGAGTGGAGGGGACCTGGGGGGTATTTATGGTTTAATTCCGTCCACAGCAGCAGAAATGGGTTGGGCGTCGATTGCTGTTGATGCAGCAAGACTGTCGTTCGCATTTGTGTCCGTCAGACTGCCTCTCAATAGGCCGTGAGTTGGCAGGAGTTGCCCGTAGCCACCAGCCTGCTCTGCTGCCAGCGTGGGTACAGCGGGCACCGACAGGATGCGAGCCAAGAGGATTCAGACGGGATCAGCTGCTGTCATCACAACCCTGTTCACTATCCCCTCTCTCTCTCTCTCTCTCTGAGCCCAAACCCATGCCACAGATTTGGACCATTCATCCTCATTTGATGGATTCTCAAAATTAGTGATCGTTTTCTATAATTGTTTGGCCAAGAAAAACATGCATGTAAGAAAAAAAATACATGTAAAGAAAATAAATACAAATAAGCTTAATTTTGGTTTAAAATGTAGTTAAATGTAACTTAAATTGCACTTTAAAAAGACTTGGTGGATGCAATTTAATGGCTTAATTAAAATGTAGGTAAATGTAACAATATGTATATCCCACTACCCACTATATATATTAAATTAAATTCAAACTGCATTTACAAAAGACTAGAGATGCACCTTAAAAAATGATTATTATTTCATAAAAAAATAATAAAATAAATAAACACTGAAGTCACGTTCGAAATGGACTAATAAACTAAAAATGGCTTAATTCTGGTATAAAATGCAGTTAAAAGTAACAATGAATTAATATGCATATTTTTTTAAATTAATTTTAAATTGCATTTACAAAAGACAAGGTATGCACCTTAAAAAAAAGGAAATCAATAAAAAAAAAACATTGAAATCATGTTTGAAATTGACATTTGGTATAAATGTAGTTAAATGTAACAATAAATTAATATGTATATTTTTCAAAATTCGTCTTAAATTTCTAAAAGCCTTGGGGTGCAACTTAAAAAAATAAAGAAAATCAATTATTCAATAACAAAAACATTTAAACATTAAACATTTAAATCACTTGACAAATGTAACATATATTTTAAATGATTAAAAAATGACATTTTAAATTGATAAGGGATTCTATTTTTAAGTGGCACTCCCAGTATACTTAATAATAATGGTTCAGATTGGTTAGAAAAGCAAGCCAGTGCTGTAATTCAACCTGACAAATTAGGTTTTACCTACAAAAGTATTTTTTTATGGCTTAGATCAAGTAAAAGTTGCTTGAGGTAAGAATGGCAGGTCACCAATTTTTTTGAGCAAAATCTTATTATATTCTGCTGTTGTATTGGAAAATGCTCACTTTAACTGTACACTCTAAAAAATGCTGGGTTAAATATAACCCAGCGCTGGGTTAAAAAGGGACAAACCCAGCTATTGGGTTGTTTTGACCCAGCTATTGGGTTGTTTTCAAAACATTTAGTAAATAAAAATGAATATCAATGAAGCGTACAGATAATAAAAGAACAATATAATAACACCATCTAACACTCCTGGTACTTGCATTTAAATTAAAGTTTGTGCCAAAACACTGTTGAAGGAGATTTTAATTTATGGTTCTTGCAATGTACATTAAAATGATAAAGTGTTTATTAGACACCTTACTGCAACGTACTGAGCAAGTGTCTAAGACCTACATTTGTAATTCAGAAATGGACACATTTCCCACAATATATTATCCAGAGTGAGTGAAAATACATTAAATAAACAGAGGAATAAACAACAGTCCATTGGACTTCCCACTTTACCTTTATCCTTTCCAAACACAAACCTCACTTTCTTTAACTGACCTACTGGTAATCAAAAAGGAAATCAATAATTATTTTATAAAAATAAAAAAAACATTCTTTTGAAACTGACAAATAAATAAAAAATGGCTTAATTTTGGTATAAAATATATTAAATGTAACAAATTAATATGTATATATTTTTAAATTCAACTTCAATGGTATTTTAGAAAGACTTTGGGTGAAAGGAAATTAATTATCAAAAAACATTTGAAAATGCCTTAATCTAGGTTTAAAATGTAGTTAAATGTAATGTTACATATCCTCTTAAAAGGACTGTTTTCATAGCTCTGTCTTTGTCTCTGCTGATACCTTCTGATATCTCAGTCCTACCACACATAAGAAAGTAATACATACAAAAACAAACTTGCTTCCCATTTAGAAAAAATATTTAATCAAAATGATTGTAATTCATCATTCATATTTTATAAAACACAACTCCCGTTTCCCAACATTAAACAGGTAAACATTTTCCTCAAGCAACAATTTACACAGCTGAAGTCTAAAAATAAACGACTGGAGAAAAAAAAAACATTTCAAAAGAGCACAATTAAACACAACTTATTATTATAAGTCTGATTTGTGTTTGTAAAAGTGTTCTTGGCAGGACTGTAAAGCAGGGGTGCCCAAACTCGGTCCTGGAGGGCCGATGTCCTGCAGAGTTTAGATCCAACCCCAATTAGGCACACCTGAACCAGCTAATCAAGCTCTTACTAGGCATACTCGGCAGGTGTGTTGAGGCAAGTTGGAGCTAAACTCTGCAGGACACCGGCCCTCCAGGACCGAGTTTGG